GACCCTTTGATGACTCGTGGACTTCAACTCCCAGAATTCCTCAGCCGGCGTGAGGGAACTAGGACCTTTGATGACTCGTGGACTTCAACTCCCAGAATTCCTCAGCTGGCGTGAGGGAACTAGGACCCTTTGATGACTCGTGGACTTCAACTCCCAGAATTCCTCAGCCGGCGTGAGGGAACTAGGACCCTTTGAAGACTGGTGGACTTCAACTCCCAGAATTCCTCAGCCGGCGTGAGGGAACTAGGACCCTTTGATGACTCGTGGACTTCAACTCCCAGAATTCCTCAGCCAGGCACGCTGGCTGAGGAATTCTGGGAGTTGAAGTCCACCAGTCCTCAAAGGGCCGAGTTTGAAGAGCCCTGCATAAAAAGGAGGCCAGTGACACCACCCCCAGCCCCACAAAAGCCCCTTCCAGCCCCCTCCGGCGAGCGTCCCGGACAGGAGAGCAATACTTACTCAGCCGTTCCCGCGAAACCCGGGATAGAGGAAGGATATCGTAGCGCACCGTTTGATACTGGATCACCTGCCGGCAGAAGACACAAAACAACGGCAAGGTTGGGACTGTGCAAGCAGGTGGAAATCCGAGGGCCCGGCCACGGAGGAATGTAGACAAGAGTCTGGCGGCCCCGTTAACCCTGATCGAAGCATTGCGGCTGAAGTGCGGCGAGGCCGAATCCAGCACATCTGGGTCCCCGAAAGGTCCCCGATTCGTCCTTGCTTACTGACAGACGTTAAGGGAGGAAATGAAAGGTGGAGTTGCCTGGGAGGGGTTCAGTGTTGCTGCCCAGTCACACAGTAGGAGGAGGAAGGAAAGAGGGAAGGGAAGGGAAGGGAGGGAGAAAGGGAAAGAGGAAGGAAGCTGGCGAGAAGGAAGGAAGGATGATAAGAAACAGAAGGGAGGAAAAGAGAGAAAAAGGAGGGGAGGGAAGATGAAAATGAATGAGGGAGAAAGAGGGAGAAAAAAGGAAAAAGGCAGAAAAAGGAGGGAGGGAGGAAGGGAGGAAAAGAGAAAGGGAGGAAAAGGAGA